CAGGTGGGGGAAGTTTTCTGTCATTATTTCTTCAAGTTGGTTTTTAATATCTTGCTCTCTCTCTTGTTCTGGCACCCCCTTAATTCTGATGTTGGTGTGCTTGAAGTTGTCCCAGAGGCTCCTTACACTATTTTCATATTTTTGGATTCTTTCTTCTTTTTGCTTTTTCAATTGGGTGTTTTTTGCTTCTTCATATTTCAAATATTTGACTTGATTCTTGGGATCCTCTAGTCTACTGTTGGATCTCTGTATATTATTCTTTATTTTAGTCAATGTATGCTTAATTTCTAGTTGGTTCTTTTTCATATCCTCAAGGGTCTCACTAAATTTATTGGCGGTTTCTAGAAAACTCTTGAAAAACCTTATAACTGTGGTTTTTGAACTTTATATCCAGTAGTTTGCTTTCCTCCATTTCTGTCATTTGTGACCTGTTTCTTTGTCTCCACATTGTGGCTGCTTTAGGGTAATTACTCAATTGTAGTTACTTCATAGATGGAAACAAAGCCTGAGCTGTGGTCCCGGAGGGGCTGTATGGTCTGGGCAGCAGGTGGAAACCAGGTTTTAGCTCGTCCCTAACGCAGGCCGGTGGCAGGACTGGTGTGTATGCACAAGCCCAGCTGATAGGCAAGTTTTCAAGTTCATGACTCCCGCTCACTCACAGACAGCACGCTGCCGCCCTGACTCTCCAGGGGACTGTGCAATGCCACCTTGATGGCTCCACTCAGGCCAATTTCTTCAGAGCCTCGGAAGTTCAGCTACATGCTGGGAATTGTTTCTAATCCTCACCCAAGGATATGTTTTTATTTTCTTTTAAAATATGTGTTTATTTATTTCAAAGAGAGGAAGAGAGAGGGAGAGATAGAAACATCAATGGTGAGACAGAATCATTGATTGGCTGCCTCCTGCACACCCCTCCTGGGGATCGATCCTGAAATCTGGGCATGTGCAGTAACTGAGAATCAAACCATGACCTGTTCATAGGTCAGCACTCAGCCATTGAGCAACACCAGTGGGGCTTTATTGATTTTTTTAGAGAGAAGAAGGGAGGAGAGAGAGAAATCAATTGGCTGACTCCATGTCTTCTACTGGGGCCTGACTGGGACGACACTCCAATTGACTGACCAGCAGCTAGGACCACACTGAGCGTTTTACACCCTGACTGCCGCCCTTCGCTGTCTGACATGCAGAAGGCTGGAACCTGCGCATGGACAGGTATCCTGGAGGGCGATACAGTGCAACGCTTCTGGGGTTTGGAGCCAAACAGGACCTGGGTTCAAATCCCAGCCCCACACTCGGTGTGCAATTCTGCTCTTCTGGACCTTGTATCTGTCTCCAAAATGGGTATAAAATGCCCATTTCCAAAATGTGAGGTGCATACAGAGCTTCAAATAAGTAGAAACCCTAAAATGGCCATCCCCAGGCCTCCTTGAGCCCTTACGTGATGGCCAGTCTTCGTATGTAGAGACCTTTGGGGACAGCAGAGCCCTTTTAAGCATCAGATGCTGCTGCTGTGGTCACTTCAGGAAGCTGGGATGGGATAAGCCTTGATTTCATTTCTGGTGTAGAGAAAGGGGTTCAGAGTCTACCTATCTTAACTGATCAAATGCCTCCAAAATTCAACCCCTCAGACATCAGAATGTGACTGTATTGGAGGCAGGGACTTCAGAGAAGTGATTAGAGACCATCAAGGTGGGCCCTAACCAGCCAGACGGGTGTTCTTATAAGAAGAGGGAGTGTGGACACACAGACGCCAGGACGTGCCTGCAGAGGAGAGCCCGTGTGAGGACAGGGAGGGCCGCTGTGCTGGAGGAGAGGGCCTCGGAGAAGCCATCCCTGCCGGCACCTGGGCCCAGGCCTCCGGCCTCTGGAACGGTGAGAAACACATGCCCGCTGCTCAGCCTGCTCGCGGTGGCTTTGTTACGGCAGCCGTAGCAGTGGCCCTGGTTTGGTTTGTAGGGCCACTTGATAGCTGACAAGCAGACTGCTGTAGTTAGAGAAGAAAGTGGAGTCTCGGAGCTCCTGCTGGTGAAGGCACAGAGGGGAGGGGAGGGGACACAGATCTTGAGGGTGGTTACTAGCCTTGTGTCAAAGGTTACCCTCATACTCACAAGAGGGGAGCACAGGTCCCCAGTTCCCAATGAGCCACGCTGGGCAGGCAGAGAGAGGACTGTATGCTCACACCATCTTTTCCTCACATTTATTAGAAATGTCTTTACATAATGAGAAAAACGAGAAAGTTTTTGTTTGAAAGTCAGCCCATTCCCCTGGCCTATAACTAGACAACTGTGACTTGAGACCTCATGGGGTGAGATTTTGGACTTGAGGTGCCTGGCCATAAGGTGGGTGTTAATGTCTATTTGCCCATTTACATGTCCAAGCCCTGTGGAGACAGGGTGGGGCAGGGAGAAGGGAAGCTAGCTGGCCGCTAGCTGGCTGTCTCTCCCTCCTCCCCCATCCAGGCCCTGAGGCCTGAATCATCTGGCATCTATAACGTGAGGGATTTGACGAGAAGTTCTTAAGGCCCCTCCCAATTGTGGGCTGCTCTGAGAAAGTGGACCTGGCCTGGCCCTTCAAATATTTGTCCTTTGCTGGCAGGCACAATGCTAAACTCTGTCAGCAGAGGGCAGTGGAGAGGCATTGCAACAGGGAAGGGCTCCTGCCTCACTCAGCTGACTGATATGAGGGGCGGAGGGGGGCAGGGTCAGGTTCCTACAGCCCAGGCTCCTCCAGAGCACTGCGGTGGTCAGCAGCATCAGCCCTCCCTCCAGGAAGACACCTCCTCAGTGTAGCACCACCAGCAGCTTGTCGGCCATTCAGTGACTGCAGCGTGCTCTCTCCAACAGGCAGATTTCACCCCGGGTGGGGCTTCCTTGAGTGCCCAACTCAGCCCTAGGGGGAGGCTTCGTATAACTGTTAACTCCTGTTGTTTGGAGGTCTCTGATTTCTAGCCAACACCTCATTGTTCTCACCACGTTATAGCTGCATCAAGCTTTCTCTGTTCAAATTAGTGGTTTCCTCTCTCTTGACAGGACCTTGACTGATACAGAACTGATACCATGAGCTGTCCCAGGAGACAGACCCGCCAGGCTGGGGCTTGGGAATTGGTTCGGTTGTGCCTTTGGGCCTGAGTGCAGTGCCGAGCTCCTTGCTGGTGGGAGATGGGAATGGCAGCAAGAACAAGCTTGTCATTTCAAGTGGAGCCTGGTTTCAGTTCTGTGTAGGCTGCTGATAGATAAATGCTTCCAGACCCACAGTGACCAGACCCCAAGGTGATACCGTCCAAAGACTTCTGGGAATTCACCTGTGACCTTAAGGAATCAAAACCATTTCTGGGCAGGAATGCATGGAGCCGTAGAAATGCATGCAGGCGCCTCGGAGCAGTTGGTCTCTGCAGGGGCTGCTCAGAAGACAGCATCTCCTGTGGACAGCTTGGCCAGGCCTGCCCACCTTCAGGTCAGTGCCGGTCACACGCCCAGGGCCACACCTCGGTCCGAGGTTTGAAATGCATCTGGTCACACTGAAGTGCCAAGCACTCTGCCTTGACTCCGAGAGCCTCAGAGGAGCCGTAGGGCTTCCTCGGTCTGGCTGGATTGCTGGAATTCTCTCAGGTCAGTCCTCTCTGAATCACTGTGTCCCATCCGGGCAGCATCAGCATCGCCCGCTTGGGCACCTACCAGCCACGCACATTCCCAGACCGACTGACTCGGAATCTCAGGAGGGCCCAGCAGTGTGAGGGCAGCCCTTAGGGGATTCTGATGTGCACTCAAGTGTGACTAGTCACCTGACACAGGAGCCGATGGTGCTCCCACCTTAAAATCATTTAGTGCCTCCCTTCTACCCAGCAGAGCTCGTCCCCACCCGACCCTGAGTCTCCAACCTTCAATCCACTGTGGGGCTGTCTGAGAGGCAGATTCCAGGGGTTGTCCCCCAAGATTCTGCTCTCAATGACTCTGCTCCACGTGGTTCGCTGGCCACTTGTGAGCCATGCGCTCTCCTCGGAACACATCTGCGCGTCTGTGTGTATCCTCTGTCAGCTGGACGGTCACCAGCCGCTTCTGGCCAGCTCTCCTCTATCCCTCACACACAATGTGCCTTTGCTCCTGCTCCTTTCTGGGCCCCAGTGTCCTCCTTGCCTCTCCCTCCTCTTTCCACAGTATGACAGTGACAAGCCCAACTACAGTGAAGACAGGGCCTGTCTGTGATTCCTCAGGGGCAGGCACTCCGAAAAGACTCAGACTTGTTTGTAGGCCTTTCAATTCTGTTTATTTCAGTCCAATTCAATGTAATGCAATGCAATGCAACTCAATGCCTGTCAGAATAAAATAGCCCTGGGAGCCCATGGCAAGCTCCCACCTGCGGGAACCAGGCCTGATGGCCAAGGGCGGAAGGACCCCACTCACTGATCAGGCTAATGGCGGACAGTCACAGGAAGCTTGTCTTGGCACTGAGCACCTGCTCCAGAGGCCCGCTGGATCGCTGCAGTTGCCCAAGGCTCTTTGAGGCCCCTCCTCACACAGTCAGCCGGACCACTTCCTGAAGATGAACTGGAAACTACTAAGTATGTGTCGCAACCATCATGTCACAGGGGCTCCCGAGTCACCTCACCCAGAGTCACTGTCTCCCAACCTCAGTCACCATGTGATGGGGTCACACAAGCTCAACTGAATGCACCTACAGGGGGGGCCGCAGGGTTCACCCAGTCCTCTTGGGTGGGGATCCCCATCCCCATTCGACTGCTTGACTAAGAACTCTCGCCGGAAACTGCACAACAGCTGTTATTCACAAGCCACAGCCCTGCCTCAGCCTCTCCCGGCGAGGACGTCCAGCAGGAGCCCGCTGAGAACCGGTGCCGTCCTGCTTGACCAGGAGCAAAACAGTGTAGGACGGCCAGCCTCCAGGAACCACGCACCACGGGACTTTCCTGTGGCAGCCTCGGGGAGTGCAGCCAGGCACCTGGAGACCAGGAGATGGCAGAGCTGCAGGAGGGTCTGATGTCAATGTCAGTGCGTCTCCCTCCTCCTGCGTCTGAAACAACAAAGGGAGAGAGTGAGCTCCCAGCAGCCTCAGGGCAGCCCTAATTCACTCCCCTGCGCGGTGTGGGTGGCAGTGTGGTAGGAGGGACAGGGTGCTATGGAAAACACCGCATTCTGTCCTACGAGGCCCAGAATCTTCCCTCACTCCCCGCTTCCTCCCCTGAAGAAACAAATGAAAACTCCAAGATTTGGGGTTTCAAGTTTCTAACTTAGTCTATTCGGTGGTTCCCAAAAGGGAGGATAACTACTGTGCCTCTCTATCGGGTTTTAGTTAGACTGCCGTGCATTCATGGAGAATCTGGCATATAAAGAAATCCAAAAACTTAGCCATGCTCATGAACAGAGCAGGAAACACTAAGGACAAAAACTCATCTGGACAGATTTGGACGGTTTGCTTTGTAACTGAGTCAGCTCTCAAATATCTCATTCACTCTTTCATTCATTCAACAAATATTTGTGAAGCTGCCCCGTGTGTCCATGCTCATGGGACTCGCAGTCCAGTGGGGAAGACACACAACTATCACCAGAATTCAATCGAGTCCTTGTGAACAAGGACTAAGCCAAGCCCAAGGCATTATGGGAACAGACTCCGAATTGTGGCTCCTGGGGTGGGGGTCCTTAGAAAGCTTCCTTCAAAGAGGTGACAAGAAAACTGAGATTGAAAAACTCAACAAGACCCCTCCTTTCCCAAGTCTCCAGTATCAACCACAATAAAGGGAGGTCAGCAGCATCAGGTGCCTCTCCAATCGCTGCACTGAGAAGGGTTTGAATTACTGCCATGTCGATCCCGCTGAAGAGACAGACTGTGAACCTAATCACAAGGAAATGCACACAAGCTCTAGCTGGCAACACTCTCAAAGCAACAGCCTGTACTGAACAATGCTGGTGTCCGACTGAGGAAACCAGATTAAAGGGGCTAAGGAGACATGTTCGCACACACACAGCAGGGGCCAGGCGTGGCCCCAGCACCAGGAGAAAGTAGCTGTGAGGGGTGTGACCTGCAGATGACTGAACATTGTACTGAATTTGTTGATCTTGATAACTGGAATTTAGTTGTGCCAGAGACTGTTTTTAAGAGATCAACTCTGGTATATATTCAGGGGCAAAGGGCCACATTGTCTGCAATTCACTTGCAAATAGATCAGAAAAAAATGTGTGTGTATATATGTGGCAAATGTTAATGATCTGGGTGAAGGTGAGGGGTGTAGGGAATATCTTTGTACTATTTTGCAACTTTTGAGTAAGTTTAAAGTTGTATCAAAATTAGCCGAGACCGGTTTGGCTCAGTGTATAGAGCGTTGGCCTGTGGACTGAAAGGTCCCAGGTTCGATTCCGGTCAAGGGCATGTACCTTGGTTGCAGGCACATCCCCAGTAGGGGGTGTGCAAGAGGCAGCTGATCGATGATTCTCTCGCATCAATGTTTCTAACTCTCTATCCCTCTCTCTTCCTGTCTGTAAAAAAAATCAATAAAATATATTTTTAAAAAAATTAAAGGTGACCCCCCAAATGGGATGCTCAACCAGCAGGTGAGGGCAGGTGTACACGTGATCCACGTAGGGAGGGAGGGCTGTGCAAGGGCGGGAGTGGCAGCAGTGTGGGTGCACAGGGAACACGCCGTTCGGCTGGGACACAGGTCCAAGGCAGGCCTAGTGAGAAGCCAGGTTTGAGGTTCGGGGAGGCAAACAGCAGAGGTCTGGTCTTCGTCCTGCAGGCTGTGCAGCTGCTGAAAGGCTGGATGTGGAGAAAGTGCACAGGAGCAGGCCAGGGCCACATGGAGGTCACAGCAGTGCTTGCCGGCAGAGGAACCTGGGTCCCAGCCAGCTCCACCCCCCCAGGCTGCAGCATTCACCAAGTGCTCCCTTTACGCGTAGGACTGAGCGAGGGCTTCAGGATGAGGCCCAGCAGGGCGGTTGCAGGGCCAGGAGAGACTTGAAACTGCTGAGAGGTAGGATGGAGGACAACCTGTAATCAAGGCGTTTCCCCTGGAAGTGGCTGCATCCAGTGAACACTGAGACAGCATTCCAGGGAAGGAAGATGCCCAGTCCCCATGTGTATTAGAGGGGCCTTGGTGACACTGGGTGTTTGGCTGGATGTGTCTGATCTCCCAGGAGAGGTTCAGGAGCTGTGGCTGAGTGCTAGATGGGAGGGACCATGGAGGCTGCTCCCTGTGTCCACATTCTGGGGTCTTACTATTTCTTACTAGCTGGGTGAGCACAGGCAGGAAGTTTATTGTTTGTGCTTCAAGTTCCCCAACACAGTGACACCATTACTTATCTCAACTAGGGCTACTTGCCCTGAGAATGGAATAACAGAGTATGAGTAAAATGCAATGAGTCTCCAGATCAGAACATGTGCTCCAATGGATCAACAGACGCCATCACCATCACAATTTCAGTTGGCCTCTCAGGCATCCAGCAAGAGGGTAGGAAGCAATAGGAAGGGACAAGGATAGCAGCCCGACTCTGTATAAGGAAAAGACTATCCCGGTCCCCGTCCCGTCTCACCAGCACCCGCCGCAGGGCACATGCTGCCCTGCCATGCAGCTGCTTCTTAGGGGCAGGCAGGTGGGCCAGCTCACATTGCAGCCAGGCAGTGCCTTCAGGCTCCTGAGGAGTTTTGTAAGGACCGGTGGTGCTTATTAAAATGTGGATCACAGGCACAGCTCAGGGCTAAAGTCAGATCTGGGGATGGTGCCCTAAACTCTGCACTTCAAACACACATTCTCCTGTCCCCTTCTCTCCACACCTCTCCCTCACCTTTTGGGTGGCTACAGACCAAGAGTTGTTGAAGTAATGCATTTTGGAGGGTGAGAACTAAAGGTAATTATTCTAATCCTGTATTTTAAGTAATCACTTTGGACCCTTTAATTTATATCCTATAAGAAAGGCCCAGTGTATGACATTTGTGCCCTGGGCGAGGAGGTGTCCCTCAGCCCAGCCTGTGCCCTCTCACAGTCTGGGAGCCCTTGGGCGATGCCCGACTGCCATGGAGGTAGGAGAGGCTCCTGCCCCTGGTGCTGTGCTCGCCAGCCATGAGCCCAACTTCTGGCTGAGCAGCGCTTCCTCTGTGGGAGTGCACTGACCACCAAGGAGCAGATCCTGCATTGAGTGTCTGCCCTCTAATGGTCAGTGCACATCATAGCAACCATTTATTCTGCCATTGAGCAGAAACCAGCTCTCCAACATCCCCCAAGAGGTCCCGGACTGTGAGAGGGGACCCTACCAGTGCACAATCAGGGCTGGGAGGAACCGTGGGAGGGCTCCAGGGTATGTCAAGTCCATCTCACTCAGTCCTTAGCGGCGGAATCCCAGCAGCAAGCTAAACTACAGGTCGGATCATCTGCCCCCTGGTGGCCAGTGCATGTCATAGCAAGCGGTTGTATCCTTAGCATATAATTACCATATTCTGCTTTGATTGGTTGAATGGCACTTAGCATATTAGGCTTTTATTACCTAAGATAATAAAGGCTAATATGCAAATCAACTGAATGGCAGAATGACCAGTCGCTATAATGCGCACTGACCACAAGGGGACAGATGCTCAACACAGGAGCTGCCCCCTGATGGTCAGTGCACTCCCACAGGGGGAGCATTGCTCAGCCAGAAACTAGGCTCACAGGCAGTGCTAAGGATGTCCAACTGCTGGGGAGCGAGCCTAAGCCATCAGTTGGACATCCCCTGAGGTCTCCCAGACTGCAAGGCACAGGCTGGGCTGAGGGACCCCTCCCCCCCAAGTACATGAATTTTGTGCACCTAGCCTGTACCAATTCAATAAAATATGTAAGGTTTTATGTGACCAATTATCGCAAGGAAGTTTATTTGGGTTCAAGAAAGAACTGACAGTTAGGCTAGCCAATAATGGGTTGGGCCACCCAGTTGGTGGAGGTGTCCCTAAGGAGCCCTACACTGGCCAAGTAGCTGGATGGATGATTTCCAACTCTAATACCTTATGATGCTCCATGAAGTACGGGAGAGAGAGGAACACACCTTTTAAAAACAATTTCACAGTTCTAGAAAAAAAAAAAGAAGTTGATGGTTTTCAGTTGGCTTTCAAGTAAATATTGTTTATGTAATGAGGAAAAGAAACATTCCTCAGAGAGAAAATTAGGTTATTCTGGGATGGGAATTAAGATCAGTTTTGTTTTGTTTTGTTTTGTTTGTTTTTTGTTCAGGTTTTTTCATGTGATGGTTTTAAAAATTCAACAAGACACGACATATAGGGGAGAAACCAAGATGGCAGCATAGGGTAGACACCTGAATGCAGCCTACCACAACAAATTTGAATTTAGAACTGAAAAGCAGGGGAAACATCACCCTGAAGCACCGGACAGCTGGCTGAGAGGAGGCTCTACCATCTGGGAAGGAGAAAGAAGGCGCGCTGAACCTCAGGATCTGTGAAAGTGCGGAGAACTGTGTGTGTGAAAAGGCGGCCACCAGACTTCGCTGCCGGCTTGCTTGCAGAAAGCAGAGAGGGCAGGCCGAGTTCGCTACTGGCTTACTCCCTGCGCGCGGAGAGGGCGGACAGCTAATGCGCGGCTGGCTTTCTTGTTTGGGAGGAAAACAGAACCACCCTATTGTGCTGATAGGTGGCCCCAGACAGGGAGAGGCCAGTCTGTTGGGCAGTGGGCAGAGATCACTTGGAGGTGTGTGAAGCCAGCGGCCATTACTGTGGGACTCAGAAACCAGACCCTCGTAGGGAGGGGCTGAATAAAGCTTGTCTGCACCAACTGAGACTCCGCCCCATCCAAGCAGAGCAGAGAAGCCCTTCCAGTGACTAGCTTTCTCGTTCGTAGTGAATGGGACTCTCCTAGGGAGTGACAGACAGGAATCTAAAGCTTGTCTGCGCCTATACCAAAAAGGTGCGTGCGCTTGCAACCAATTGTGCGGGTTTCAACAAAGCTTGTCCGTGCCACCCTGAGACTCCGCCTCATTCAAGTGGAATACAGAATTCCTCCTAGCTGAGACACTTCTGATCCTCATAGCCAATTGGCT